CATGATATTTTGGGCATATCACCCCCCCTTACGTCAGCCCACCTGCTGCCCGTGTCAGTAAAGCTTTACATAACTATTCTGATGTGGACCATGTGCAGGGACGTGCAGCAGACCTGAGAGGAGCCTGACGACACCGCCAGGCCTGGTTAATGCCACAGCATCCAGCCCAAAGCCCCAGTGCTCCGCGGAGAGCCAGCCTAATGCCATTACTGATGCTGCCCCCCAGCCCAATGAAATTATTCATCCGCCTGGAGCACACCGCTTATCAGAAATTCATCTAAATCACCGGCTTTTAGAAAAGTGCTCTGTACCAAGCTCTGGTGGAATTCGGTTTGGTCTGGAAATCATTAATGATGTTACCAGGGCTGCTGGATATTAGACTCAAATGTCAAAACATGTATAACAATCCACCCGAAGGATCGAACTAAACAAATGATGCAGATAAAATTTGGGAAGTCATAAAACAAAAACTGACACAGGCACGTCTATCTTGCTTAACTCATTTTGTGGTGGATTTAAGGGATTAGTGCAATGTTTTTCCTCAAAAATCATAGTATTTTCCAGGTTTTAAACCTTTTAAAACTTTTTTAAATGAAATTCTGTGTCTAGTGACTTGACTTGACACCCTAAAGGCTTCCAAAGTGCATTCTACCGCATCTAGTTTTGGGTTTAAAATGGTCTTGTGGTTCAGCACATCACATCCTTGCGTTATTGTACGGCCTAAGAATGAGCTTTTTAATGTACCTCAGTTTCATGTGTTCCTACACCTGAGAGCTCAACAAGAATAGAAGGAAACGAATTACAGAAACACATCACTAACCTGAACATTCAAACGAGCACAGAGCGAGTTATAAGATTACATGCTTTCAGTTCTTTATCAAGTCTTAGCATAAGATGGAAATAATAGCACATCTGTTGGAGAACATTGCATCACTGCCTTAGATGTATATAAGAATTTCTGAAAGCAATTGCCTTTTTCTTGCCTCAAAGAAACATACTGAAGATTTTTGCTGCAGCCTTTGTCTTACAAACATTTTGTTTTCAGTGATTGACAGAAGTGTTTGCAAGCTCATTATTACATTAATTGCAAAAAGGTTGGGACAGAAATGTGAATAAAAAACTGATAGCAGTAATTATAAATTCTGTTTCATGGGTATTAAATTGAAAATGGTACAAAACACAATATTTTTTGTGAAAATATGACACCTGCAATTTGATGCCTGCAACACATTCCAAAAAAGCCTGAGAAAACAACGTTTAGCACTGTGTTACACCAACTTTCCTATTAAAAACACACCGAAGACAAAAACTGATCCAGTTTTGAAAGTGGAATTTTATGCCATTCTTCTATTCGACACGTTTTCAGCTGCACAACCATACAGGGTCTCCACTGTCGTGTTGTGCACCTTATAATCTGCAACACATTTTCAAAGGGAGACAGGGCTGGACTGCAGTACCTCCACTCTCTGATTACGCACATGTGCAGAATGTGGCTTGGTGTCGTCATGTAAATTAAAGGAATAGACATCGCTGAAAAAGATGTCACCTAGAAGGCAGCATATCGCTGCTGTCGGAACAAAACCTCATATCTCCATTTTTGTCCTTCTTCAGTTTTCAGCATAATTTGAAAATGCCTGTTGTCCTTCACATTGTACGTAAATTTTATGGTGACTGGACCAAAAGAAATGGCTCTAAATTACTTGGAAAAAAGTCTGGTTCCATTGACTTCATTACAAGTAAAGTATGTTTTTCCTTCTCCTGTAAAGTTACCATTTAGGAGATACGTGGTTTTGTTCTGACAGCAGTGATATGTTGCTTCAAAATGTGCTTTTATCTTTCAGCATTAATGGTGCCTTCACAGATATGCCCATACTATGGGCACTAAAACACCCCCATACTATGACAGACGCTGGCTTTTGACCTTTACACTGGTAACAGTCTGGACGCTGCTTTTCTTCTTTGGCCCAGATAACTTGACATCCACTATTTCCATAAGCAATCTGAAAGATCACACGTTTCCACTGTGCATCAGACCATTTCATCTGAGCTTGAGTCCAGAGAAGTCAACACCATTTCTGGACATTGTTTTCATATGGCTTCCACTGTACATAGTACAGTCTTAACTTGCATTCATGGACACAGCAAAGAAAAGCGTTTACTGATGGTTTGTCAAAGTACTGCCAAGTCCATGTAGTGATATCCTATTAATGGATGCTGCATGCTGGTTTTAATGCAGTGCCATCTGAGGGGTCAAAGATCACGTCCATTCAGTTGTGGTTTTCGGCCTTGCCCTTTACGCACAGAGATTATTCCAGATTCACTGAATCTTTTAATGATATAATGCACCATAAGGGGTTAAAAAACCTCAAACTGTTGGACTATTTGCTGACATATTTTTGACAGAGTCGTGAGCCTCAACCCATCCTTGCTCATAAAGGACTTTCCTACATGCTCCTTTTATACCCAAGCATGATTACATCACCTGATTTTTTTAATATTTCACAATGTTCCTAGTCTTGAATTGCTCCTGTCCCAACTTTTTTGGAATGTGTTACAGCCATCAATTTCACAATGAGTGTATGTTTTCACAATATATTTTCTCTGTTTTGTTTCATTTAAATACAGGTAAAAGGTGAATTACAAATCACTGCTTTCTGTTTTCATTTGCATTTCACATACTTTCACAACCTTTTTTGTAATTGAGGTTTGTATAGCTTCAGTGCAAGTTGGTACGCAAAATATGACTGATTGTAGAGTCGATAAAAAAAAAAACTGTTACAATTTGAATCCAAATTGGCCCGTCCAGTACGCTGTGCCCGAATTAGCTTGACCACACACGTCTGGCCACACACACTCAGCCCAAACTGCAGCAGTTTGGATGCAGATCATTTGCTACAATGCCAGACAAGATGAAATGAGACTCTATCAGTCAAAACTCTGGAAGCAGCACCGCTCGAAATTTCCTCCTCCATCTGTAAGACAACATGAGCCCAAAACTGCACGGCCACGTCTGGCAGCATTCCTTCTGTGTCATTCCCAGCACTCCCGCATCACCACTGCCTCATTATCAATCTAATAGCCCCTATTTAGGGGCCCCTGACGCAGCCGTCTGCTTGGACGATATGCGCTCGCACGCTGCAGCCGGACATGGCAGGATATGTATGGCCTCGGGCTGTGGCCCGTCATTTGGCATTCTGAATGAGGGAGTTGTGTCATGAATAAAGAGGAGTGATGAATGGTGGAGTCCATTCTCCATTCTGATACGTCACCATGCATCTGTCAGAGCTAGCAGAGCTAGGAATAAAACTCACACAGAAAGCTGTGGTAGTTTCAAACGATATCAGGGCCAAAGCAGACAAAAACGCTACATTTTTAAACTTAAGCCCAAATATAAGAAATCAGCTGGGACATATTTGGTGTCTGAAGCTTGCTTCTTTAGTTTTGCAATGGTGCTATAAGGCTAATGCAACTAACAAGTAATGGAAGTACACTACATGGCCAAAAGTATGTGGATACCCCTGCTGATTATTGAGTTCTGGCCTTTGGAAGCAACATCAGCACAAGAACTGTGCTGAGCTTCATTTAAGGAGTTTCCATAGCCGAGCAGCTGCATAAAAGCCTTAGATCACTATGTGCAATGCCAAGTGTCGGTGGGAGAGGGATAAAGCATGCCACCACTGCACTCTGGAGCAGTTGAAACATGCTTTCTGGAGTGAGGAATTATGCTTCACTATCTGGCAAACAGATAGATGAATCAGGGTTTGGCAGATGCCAGAAAAATGCTGCAGTACTAATAGTAAACCCTGGTCGAGGAGGGATAATGGCCTGTGGCTATTTCAGTGAAGGATAATGTTAGATTAAAAACATTTTAGACAATTATATGCTTCCAACTTTGTGGCTACAGTGGAAGGTCCTTTCCTGTTCCAGCAATACTTATCATATTTATCTATGAAAATGAACAAAAAGTGAGAACATTCAGGCTTCAGGGTGCTACTTTTTTACAGCATCATACAACTGTGTGAAGATTTTAGCACAATGCTAATTCTGTGGGTGGAAACTTCCATTACTTGTTAGCTATATTAGCCTTGTAGCTCCAGCACAGGGCTAAAGCAGCAGACTTCAGACATCAGACATGTCTAGGCTGATGGTTTTTGAGTCAAGTAAAAATTAGATTTTTTGCCAAATTATTAAGGTAAAAGGCAATTGCATCATTGAGGTAATCAATGAAGATTTCCTGCATTTCAAGCTGGTCTAAGCTGGTTTAGGCTGTTCTGGTGCTGGTTTAGCTGACCAGCGTATCAGTTTCCAAAACACAACATATGCTGGTTTTGCTGGTGATCTGTACAGTAGCTTCCACTGCTGCTGACCAGCACACCAGCATCCAAAACACAACATATGTAGGTTTTGCTGTTTTGCTATGCTGTTTTCTCTAGCAGGGTTCTCACTGATAACTGATTTACATAACTGATTTTATGATGGCATAACATAACATCACTGTCATTTTTCATTTTTTGACATAGCTGAAAAATACTAGCTGCCTTTACATTGTGTAGAAATTTCACAATGAATAAATCAGTAGAAATGCTCTACAACGACTTTACTATTTTCACATTAACTTACAAATGTTTTATTTCCTGTAGTGTTTTGAAGATACAGGGTTTTGGCCTCATAGAGACAATACGCATGTTTCATTTAACAAGGTGAATTCCCGCTGCTTCATGCTTGTGAATGGATATTTTTCATATCATTTTCTCTATAAAAATTAAACTTTTGCTTCAGCAAGGTCACCAAGTTCACACACAATGGAGCACACATCAGCCCCACATCGTACCGTGAGGCGCAGTGGCTCCATACACTACAAAGTTTACTGCTATATTCTGAGTAATAAACATATCAGACCCCTGTCATTTGAAATTAATGCAAAAATATAGATAGTTGTCTTTTACAAAGCATCTACACAACTGTAAGCAGCAGATGAAAGCTGAATGGTGGTTACGTACTGGCTGTGGGTGCCTCAACAGCATGGACAGGGGGCGTGGAGGGCACCAGGCTGGGGAAGAAGAAAGAGCGGAGCGAGTGATCCGAGTGCAGAGGAGAGCGCTGAGTTGGCAGGTTCTCACAACTTCCTGCTACACTGCTGTGGATCTTCAGGTTCAGAGGCTTGGCCTTCTTCCGTGCTCTGTAGGGAAACAGAGAGAGAAAGGAAGAAATAAAATAAATGAAGACACTAAGAAAAAGTGATGGGTGAGTGAATCCTTGGCCTTTCTAATTCCACAAGGAAGGTTTAAACAGGAATGAAAACATTAAATCTTCACACTGATATAAAGCTGACCATATAGCATTTATATCCCGAGCCCTGACTGTCTGCTGGACTATGGCTGGAATTCTGATGCATGTTTTTTCTGCTTAGACCTATGTATAGGAAATGACCATTTAAGCATTATTATGTCCTTCTATCCTATACATCTTGATATTAAACATATTCCACTTTTTAAATAAGTACGTCTACGAGCATCAGTCACTGCTGGAGTTTGGTAAATATTACAGTCATTCACACTGTCACTAGCAGCTGTTGAGCAGTGGATCAACTTGATAGGAGCAACAGGCCTATAGACCACAGCACTGTCTGATGCAGCTGACCAATGGAGGTGCACTGTAGGTGGGGCTAGCTGACTGCTATGCTAAAGGCCTACCCCAGGCTAAAGGCTATGGTGATCATTTTTGTTACCCCAAGAGACCAGCATCTCTTTAAAGTTTCTGCAATAACTACCTAGATTAACATTAACTCAGACTATGACTGACTACACAGCAGTAGATGAAGGATTGTTGAAAGATGCCTTACTCAGTCATTCACCTAAATGGCTGCCGTTAGCTTGTCTTGCATATGTATGATGCGTTATTTTATCTTACTTGTGGCATGCTGGTGAAACTAATACCTTAGGAATAATTCCAAATCAGTAAAGTAATTTGTGTAATTTGTAGATTTTTTTTATTAACCCTTGCCCCTCCCACAATTGCTGGTCCCCAACAGACACGTTCAATAATTTAAACATTTAGTTGGACGAAAAATCGATGAAATATCAAATTTACAAAATTTTCCACTTACTCCAAATTTAATCAGCTAGAAACATGTTCGGTGTCTGATATTCTGAGTTTTACATAGGAGTTTAAGGATGATGACTTACGCATGCAGTTGATATTATGCTTATTTGTGGGGTTCATATAAAAATAAAATATATAATGACACTGTCAATATGCTCTAAAATATAAACAGAATATATTATAATACATTTTCATGTGACTTTTTTGTATGAGGATATAAACTTCCATTACTTCCATTAGCTACATTATCCTTGTAGCTCCAGTGCAAATGTACCAAATGTATCTTGGCTGATCAACTACATCTGGGCTAAGGGGGAAAACTGTCTTAATCACTTCCATCTAGTCCTTGTGTTTCTGCTACGCTCAGCCCAAAATATGTCTCCAAATAAACACACTAAGACCAGAAAGCCACAGCAGGTAGGAAAGGTGACCAGAGAAAGTAATTCACACCAAAATAACACATAGCTGGAACATAACGTCCACCGCTTATAATGAGGTCTAGAACCTTTCACACTTCATCCACAACCTTTAGTAGCCATTCTCAAGAGTTGGTCAAGAACCATTCACACACATGAGGGCTGATGTGGCCCTGCTGAGAGACACCAGCTGAAAACACACACACACACACACACACACAAGCACACACACAAACACACACCCGTCGCACCGTTAATAAGCCGTGTAGCTTGCAGCATCTCAGTAAGAAGCTCATTTAGATGCTATAGTGCTGTTGATGCCTGAGGGATGCCATTCTGCCAACGGAGTCTCACAATCAGACGTTTTAAACCTCGGTCCAAATGCATAGAATAAAGCAAACGAGCTACAGGTTATCAACGTTCCCCTCCAAAGGCTTTGTCAGCAATTTAGATAAAACCATATTATGCCATTCAAATCAAATTAGATCCTTTCGTCTTCCTGGATATAAACAAGCTGACAATGAAAGCGGACCCGAGGCAGACCCCTGCTGAACTCCTCCCTGCCTACGCGCCTTTCTCTCTTTCTTTCTCTCTGTCATTGTCACTCACTCGCACATTCTCCCTCTCACACATAGTTTGCAGCATGAAGGTACATATAAACACACATTTAAGTCCTTTTCAGACAAATATACAAATACACAGATAGGAAACTGACATAACCGCTTTCAAATATGATCCATAATGAGAGTAAAACCATTCTGAAAACGTGGCACAACTCAAAAAGACAAGCCACAGAGAAAAAGGCTTGCCTTTGGCTAGATTAAAATGGCTGTCCGAGCTTATTGGCATGAATGTTAGCCAGGATAACTGCTAAGTGGAAGGATTTAAATCTATGTTCACTGTGATAATTAATTAGAGTGTCTCCAACATCAACTGTAAAGAGCTGAGTGAAAGTAGGACTCATGTATTGGTTTTTAAAACAGTCGTTCATAATTTTAATCAGTTTAACGTCAAGTTGTTCAAAAACAGAGATAGTTTCAGGTCTTCTAAATTACATTAACCATGATTGGCTGCTTCTTTCTAAATAAAAAACTGAAAATGACTACTGGATTTTCCTTTGTATGTTCCAGTTGGTACAGATTTGTGTGACATTTAGAGAGTAACTAGAAGTAAAGTACACTTGAATTATAATGAAGTCAGAGCTAATTGGCATGAATTTTAGCCAGAATAACTGCTAAGTGGAAGGATTTAAATCTATGTTCACTATGATAATTAAATAAGTCTCTCCAATGTCAAATCTAAAGAGCTGACTGAAAGTAGGGCTCAAGTTGGCTGATAAAATCGCCTGCTTTTCATACCACATGAATTTATTGGTAAAAATATATATCGCTGGTAAATCTCTCATACATATAAACAACTTCTTATATGTAGTAACAAACACTCAAATACAAAAAGCACCCATCAGAAACCCACGATATAAGCTTATGCTGTTCTACAGACCTTCAAATATAGATTTTAAAATTGCGAATATTACTACTCTGACAGGATCCAGCACTGAGCGAGTCACAGAACTTAGGTACCTTGGCATTTGGCTGGATGAAAAGCTTACGTTTAAATCTCATATTAATAAACTAGTCAGTAAATGCAGACAGAGGCTCGGATTCCTATATCAAAATAAATCCTGTCTGTCTATGCAAACCAGAAAAAGAGTCGTGGAGACAACCGTACTATCAGTACTGGACTATGATGATATAGTCTATAAACATGCATCCACCAGTACCCTCAAACCACTGGAGTCAGTCTATCACTCTGCTTTGCGATTCGTTACTGGCGACTCTTATAACACTCATCACTGCAGACTGGATGATAAAGCTGGTTGGTCCTCACTAGCAGCACGAAGGGAATCACACTGGCTTATTTTTATTTATAAATCACTCTCCAGCTATATGCCATCTTATATCTCATCTATGATATCTATAAATAACAATAATTATCAGACCCGCCTTAGAGACTGGATCATCTGTCAGGTACCGAGAGTTTTACTGAGCTACTGGTATTGTTTTACTGTCCTGTGTTGACCACATGGGGATGGGATCCTTTTTTTGAGTCTTGGTTCCTCTCAAAGTTTGTTCCTCTTGCTCTTGGGGAATTTTCCTTCCCACTCTCTCACCGTTGCCTATGGCTTGCTCATGGGGGCTTGGACCTGGATTTTTCTGTAAAGCTGCATTGTGACAACACCTGTTGTTAAAAAGCACTACATAAATAAACTTTGACTTGACTTGACTTGACTCTCACCCTTGGCTTGCTCTTTGGGGCTTGGATTTTTTGTAAGGCTCCATTGAGACAATGCAAACGAGCTATATAAATAATGATCAGATATCAGCTGATATCAGTTTTTAGCTCCTTAAAATCAGTATTCAAATTGGTCCTAATAAACAGAAAAAGCTCAAAAGCTACAAAGTGCTTTCCTGCAGGAGAGAATAAGAATATAAGAGCCTCATTGTTTCACTATGTGAGTCACATGACCTCAGAATCACTCCATTATTTCTTCTTATGATCCATTACACCATTACACAACCCCATCCTCTGGCCTTTCACAGTGCCACACAGTGCCAATCAAACATCTGTCGCCATGGAAACCCATAAAAAATATAAGAAGGAGAACCACATGGGTTAATGTATTTTGGGCCCGAGGTACTAAGCCCTCTGCGCCAGTTCCAGTCGCAAATTGGACGTGTTATATACGAAATGGGCACGAGCCTCAGTGTGCATTTTATGAGCCACATACATAGAAAAATGCAAAATGCGCTTCTCTCTCTTACACATGCATTAGAGGCAGGGCCATGCAAAGCGGAGGGGCCTGCAGAAAATGGGTGGAGATAGCAGATGCATATTCTACTTGTTTTTTCTCTGCCTTTTAAAATCAGGCATTGAAGCGCCATCTCAAAGATGTGTTATTGGGACCTTTAACAACAGCAGTAGACACAGATGCTAGATGGAGGACTGAGCCTAAAACATATACTGTAAGGATGCAACACCATGTGAACTCGAACACCCATGTGTCAAACACAAGGCCTGCAGGCCAAGTCAGGCCAGTGATATTGTCCTATTCTGCCTGCAAAATCATTTTATTTTTCTATTCTTATTCCGTTTCACCCTGAGATACACTACAGTCCCCAGCATGCACTGCAACATAGTGCACGTTCTGACCCCCTTTCCCCCAACAATCATCTATGGGCCAGCGGTTACACAAAAAGAAAAGATGCCTGGTGTCTAGTTTAAGCAAAAAGGCAGTTTTAAAGAAACTACCTATTTTTTTTATTTTGAACTATTTTGAATAAGTTTTCAATGCCTATTTTGCTGTTGCAGTTTTGGCATATTTTGAATAAACAATGGCAAAATGTTAAGTAAAAATGAAATGAAAACACAGCTGGCCCACAGACTTGCTGAGATTTTTTTAATATTGCCCTTTAAGTGGTTGAGTTTGACACCCCTCCTCTAACATATGTAAATATGTGAAAAACGTGGTGCAAAATATGCCGTGACGCAGCCAATCATGCACTCACATTCCATGTTATTGTTTTACAAATCAGATTTTTTTGAGTTAGAGCTGAATAACACCCCTGTAGAATGTATTGGTGTGAAACAATTTCATTTATTA